CATCTGTCAAATACTAAAATACACACGTTCTCATGGACACAGTTATTTTGGCAGCTGCCGGACTATACGACTGCAGGCCGACAGTTGTTGCTCTCGCTGACTTCAAAATATTTTTGTATTTGCCATCGACAGTAGGACGACGATATAGTTTACAGTAGAGAGATGAGGTAGAGTGGTGATGCCACTAATATGTAAAATGTAAAATTACTCAAAGCTCTAACAAACCTGACGTTATTTTACAAATAAAAGCATAAAATAGCTCTGTTACATCATTTGTAATAACAAATGATAATTTAAAACAAATAAATTTACCTATTTACTTATTTTTTGCTTAAAAATTTCACTTTGAACAAAATATGAAAATTTCATTGAAGTGCAAGGTATTAGTATGGCCACAGCGAAATTGTGTACATGCAAAATGGACAGCTAAGTTGTCTTGTGTACATGCCGGCCATTGTTATGTTGCTGCCCTCTCACAACTGTTCATGTGGAAGGATTCACAACGCCAATCTCAGTTCACTGTCGTGCTGCTGCAGTCTGTCGCGCTCATTGTGTTCAGCACATCAAGTGGCATATCCGGGCGTGTCGCTCTAGCGTTTGATTTGGCCTGCTTTTCGCTAAATTTCGCCTATTTTTGTGTCATTTCGCACGAAAAACACTACATATGAACAAATATAGATGTTTATGTGTAAACTAAATCAAGTGAATTTGCCTTAATTTGATTCTTTCGATGCGTGGCACATTCGCCTGAGGCGGCCTGAATTCTAATACTTAATTAAAATAGTTAAATATTCAGAGCAAAGCTTTCTGGTTAAGGAAAAAGTGTTAAACTACACTTGTTGATACATATGTACATATGTATAGCAATATGGAGTTATATGGTTTTTTAAACAGCAAATTGTTAATTTTAAAATTAGAAACAAGCTTTTATTAATAATTCAATGACAAATTCCTGCTACACCTTAAAAAATATATAAAGTTCATAATTTTTCTATTATTTTTTGCATTTCCACGACAACTAATTCGCAAATGACTTTTGTACCAATTTAAATGATTATATTCACTGAAATTAAAAAAAAAATACTTTATTTAAAAATAAAAAAAATTTTTTTTTTGCTTTTGAAGAAACTTTTCTATTAATAAACAAATAAAAAAATGTGCATTCCGTAGTATACATATGTATAGGAATTTTGGTAGAAGTAAATTGGAAAATGAAGTCAATAAAGTTACCAATTAAGTTTAGGTTTTTGCATATATCGAACAAACTCGAAGTCTCTTATCCGAGATTAAATGTTAATTCTATTCGATCCTGCTCAATTTTGGCTCTCCTTTGACTCTACCGAACTGCTAATGCGACAACACTCTTCAGCCAACTTTAAGTAATTCTTTGAAAATACTTCTTCAGCTGCAAGCTTCAATTTAAGTTTCACGAAAATAGTACTAGAATATAATATACATACATGTATGTACATATGTAGACCCGTAGTTATCGTCAAACGTGCCTTAACAAAAGTAGTCAATCTGGATTTGTTTTTACCGAAGCAAAAGCTGTCATTCAAGCTCTCAGCCATGCAGGGCCCCGCGCTGCTTTGTTTTAAATGACTGTTGGTTTACAAAAATTCGAATATTTCACCTTGCATTTAAATTTTTTTATTATCTACAATAGTTATGTGTGTTTCGATTACTCTTGCCATTGCACATATAGAACCTGCTAGATGTGCGCAATTATGCAGTAGTTGAGTGTGTCGGAGTAGTTGCATTTTTCGCATTCTTCTATTAAAATGTGGTTAAAGCGCATGCGCAGCTATGCGSCAACTGAATGACCAGCAGTTATGCTCATGTAAGCATACTTTTTCCGCGAAGCTTGGTTGTTAAAGGTTTTATAGTATTGTGGCAATAAATCGTACAAATAAATTAACAATAAATAGAATTATGTTCGTCTGTCTGTGTGTACATATGCAAACTAATTCCCCAATTTTCCAGATATCGGTCTGGAAAGTTTCATGCCTTTCCTTCCTCAAGAAACCTTTAATCTTTCAAATTCACTGATATCGCTACCCCACAGCGTATAGCTCTTATACAAACTRACCGACCGAAATTAAGCAATTGTGTGGTCAACTTCTTTATTTCACAGAATATTTGCATAAAAWTTTTTTTACGAGAGCAGAACAACCTCTGGACAATATTTTCAGATCGGACCACTCTACCATATACATATCATCAAGTTAGCTTCGGTGCATCCGTAGTTAACATTTCTTCTAATTTTTATATCAATACGGAATGTGCCATTATAAATAATTGTAGACATCTTGAAATACTCTCGAYTAAGTCCAATGATGCAAGTGAGTTCTCTATATTATTTTGCCCTAATTTTGGTTCATGATAACATACTCCAGCTTTCATTATCAATTTTTCAAAACTAAGAAACAAAGAGGTTAATTGTTTCTTAGTTTTATAAGAAAAAAAATGCCTTTCTAAATAGTAAGTTAACCTTAGATTAAGAAATAAATATTGGCATATAGTAACCATAAACTTAAAAAATGCACTCTACTTCAGATTACTGCAATAGCCCTACCCTCAAACCATATGCGCACCAAACTAATCATTAACATTTAAACTGACGAAATGCGTCTGTGTTTTTCAAAAATCACTTCGCAAGAAACTATTAGCCAGCGCCGGCGATTAACTTTCTGTTTCGTTTCCGTTAACGCACTTTGTGCATATTAAAGAAAAATCGATAACAGCAAAGGCTCAACAATCGCTGCAAAACAAAGCAAAACGGCAGCAAATAATATTACAATAAACGCTGCAATTTGTGTGGCGGTAAAACCGCATTTAAGCGCCGATTTACAGTATTACATAATTTTGTTTCTTTACCACTCATTTCAATTGTGTTCGCATGCCTGCGGGTGTGTTTGTGTGCGTGTAGTAGATAACGTAAAACAAATCATATGCGACGCTCCAATTTCAAGCGAACCGCCAAACAACTCGGCCAGAGGCAGCTTTGAAGCAGTAAAATGGCAATAAAGATAGTAAAGGCTTAGCTGAGTGCCATAGTGCCCTCAATTGTGCAGACACAAAGGTACGAAAACATGTATGTGCTGGTGTACAGGCCATCTCAGCTGGTACGTGTTGGTAGTAGGGGTTTTTAGACACAGTAAAACTCCGTTAATTTTAACAAGCGCTCTGCAAACTTCTGAATAAAGTGGTGTTGTGCATAAGGCGTTGCAATCCTAACTTTCCATACTTGCAAATTAGTAATGAACTAATTCAAATTCTTTACTTGTAATAAATTACAAATGAGTCGAAAAGTATGATTTCGTGTATCCTTAGTATCCCACTGTTCCTTTGGTAATTCTTTAATAAGCTTCTATGTTTCTTCCCATTCATTATATTTCCAATAAAGTACCCTATGTATATCAATGATCAGCATGACGAGTGGAGTCGATTTTGTTTTTGCAGATGGGACTACTATAGCATATAGCTGCCATACAAACTGACCGACAAAGTCAATAAAAAGTTCGTTTGTCCTTTGTGCCATTAATAATGCACTTGTGAATGTTTTCTTTTGTGTTTGGCTGGATTACAGTTATTAATTTTCTTCTTTTTCTGTTTTTTCATCTTCAAAGTACAATTACCATGCACAGTCTTTGAAGCGTGGCTCCACTGTATTTGGTTTATTTAGATTTTCGTCCGCAGTTGATTCACTGCGCATGCGCAACGTTGTGATTCTTTAATGAGGTGCTGGTATGCGACACATTGAGGCTCGATTGTGAAAACATTAAAAGCAGTAAAAAGCCCTTTGTGTTGGAAAATACAAATTAATGTGTTGAAACTACTACAGTTTATGTAGCTCATACAGTAATGGAATACACTTAGTTATGTATATATAGTTATACATAGATCTATTTCTTAAAATAATTTACGATCAATGAAAGCAGAACACCACCCCCTAACAAGTTTAATTTAATATCAACCAAACTTGACTGTAACAATGTTTGATAGCCCATCCTTATACTGTTCCAAAATGGTTGAAATCTGATGATAACCACGCCTACATACCATAAGCAATTTCAAACGCCTTATGATTATCTTACAGTGTGCAAATCAGGCAATAATAAATATAACTTTTTGTTAATGCTAATGTCCTCAAGTTATATCATCTCAAAATTCTTCGAAATTGACCATAACTTTTCAAGCCCCCAGATACCAAATTTGTCTACCTAAGCTGGCATATCACTGATTTTTACGAAAATATTAATAAAGTTGAGATATTTTCTTTTCTTCCTAATTATGCGCCCGTGTATCGAAAATTGATACAATCGAATCAGTGCTTCCCTTTGCACACCTACATATACCTAATACACTGATTTTTGAAATTTAGTTCCGTACCAAAGTATGTTATATGTTTAGACCTTACCTAGCAAAGTAACTCATAGAGAGTGATTATTGGCTTTCCAGGTGGCTCTAAGCCACTTCTTCACTAAACTTTGGTCTAAGCACACTTACTCATACAATAATTTATGCGCTGACTTACATCTCTCCGCTTTAGTCTAGTTAAAACCCAACTTATCACTTCCTTCTAAGAGTTAAACACTACTCGCAAACAAGGAGTTTACAAAAAAATATTACAGACTATACATGTGTGTAACTCTACGAGAATATCCACAAAGTGATACTGAACTAGTGAGAAGTTAGTTTTCAGGAGGGGGCCCCAAAAAATCTCAGTTTTATTCCTTAGACAAGGTTCTGAAAACTATATTTATTGAAAAATTTATTCTGTATAAATGTTAAAACTGTTTAACATGAAAAAGCAATGAAACCAACATACATCAGAACAAAATCAAGTAAGAGTAAAATCGGTAAGCAATTTTATCAAAACGACACAAAAATTAGAACTCCGAATTTTCTTTAACGTATTTTTGAATTTTTTTCTAACTAACTGTTTTTTTATGTACTATATTTATTTAACATTTTACCAAACAATATTAAATTATTACCTTATGAAGGAAACGCACCTTATTCAAGTAATTTAAGCCGGAAGCTGTCGGTGCAGTCGCGTCTTCTGCTAGTCTGCCTACAGCTTTTTTATTACGGCAAATTTCCCAACACCAATAAAGACGTCATTTGTGTCTGGTATGTTATTGCTGTAGTTTGCAGTGAAGGTTTCAACGATGCACACTTTAATTAAGCATAAGCATTAGCCAGTGGAGGAAATATATTATTAATTTATATTTTCATTTGTTATCTGCAACTATAAAGTTGTTACTGGTGTTTGCCTGGTGATTGTTTAGTAGTAATTAAAATTCTTTGTTGTGTTTATTTATTTTTAATATTTTTTAAAATATTTTTGCAACACAATTTGAACACTTAAATACTTTTTTTTAACTTCACTGCAAAAATCCACTCCAATCGATTGAAATACCTTTTTGAAATTACACAGACACCCAATTATTGGTAGACCGTTAAGAGCTAACAAAAGTCCACTAACGAAACGAGCAGGAAATATTTCGCCAAAAGTCGACACGAGCGCGCACACAACCGCTCCACGTTAAACACGTTCACTGAGTAACATCAACACCGCGCCAAAGGTGGCAAAATGTTGACAATGAGGCCAACAAACCAGCCATCGTCATACCAGCGCGCTTGCAGAGCGCCCTGCACACACAACAACACCAGGTGGCGCAGACGACAAGGCAACAGACACGAAGCAACAACAACTCAAGGCAACTGGCGGCAAAGAGCGGCGCAACAACAACAACATGGCTGGAATTTACTCTTCAATTGCAGTGTGGTTGACGTTGTTGCTGTTGCTGTTGCAGCGAACGCGTTCGAATCGGGCCCCGAACTGAGGGTATTGGCGCTTGAGCGCACGATCGAGCCGAAAACGAAAATAATGCATAAGTTGACTTAAAAAATTTACAGTATATTTAGTTTCAAACGCGTTTGAATGCGCTCACTGTTTCGCATTGTCGCTAATTAGCAATTCACTGAACTACATGCCGACATAACTGGATGTCGCACAACAAAAACAAACAAACAACAACAACAGCAAACGCTATAACTTGTATTTTAGCAATTAAGCTTAGAAATGTCTGTTCGAAAGAGATCGCCATTCTTGAGTAAAAATTATACTTGCTTACTAGGAGGCAGAGGCGAAATTCTTACAGGCAGAGACTACATGGAGCCCTCTGTATGAAGCGGGGAGCTGGTTTTATGAGACAACTTGCTGTTGTCGATATGAATAATGAAATGACTTTATTAAAGAATAAATATAAATTATGCATTTTCACCACTATTCGTTAAGCTTGTTCTCGGTTGATTAAAAATATTAATTCGTTATTATTTTATTATTTGATCTTACAAATCTTAAGGGGCACAGCTAGTGTGATAACTTAAAATAACACCGATTTTTAGGAACTCAAAAACAACTATTATATCAATTTTTTTTTTCAAAGTATATTTATGGTAAAGATTATGTCATATAAACAGTATCTCGATGAAACACAGTAGTTTAAATATTTCCCCATTAAACCATTAAATGTTTTTGGACTAACGTGATTTTATTTAAACGTGATCGCCGAGTATAAAAAGGCTCCTGCCGCAGTGAATCCTTGGATGAAACCTAAACCAAAATCTCTCTAGAAGAGATTGTCCATACAAAAAAAAATTCAAAACCAGACACCAGCAAATTGGTAGTGTTTTTATCTCTATTAATTGACTTTTGCTTCAAATTTGACTCGTTTTTGGCATACCAAAATCCAAGTTTTTATCAAACCTCAACTAGTAGGTCATTGCATGGAAGGCTTTGTACAAACTATGTCAAAAACTACATCAGCTCACTTGTCTTCGCTTAGTAAGCCAAGCAAATTTAGGGAATGGAGTTTTGAGGAAAACAAAAGTAATTGTTCTGATTTAACTGAGCAGCTAAACCTTGGAAGGCTAGAACTCAAAAACTGTATTAGATATCAATTTAAGATTATAGTTCGTAATTTTTTTTTTAAATAAAATTAAAAAGTCTAGATTTTTCTTTTCATTTCACACTAGTTATGACTCTTAAGTTGAAATACTCCAGACTATGAATGCCTGAAGTAGCTTCTCGAGCTGTTGGCCGAACCTTATGATCCTCTCTAGTTTGAAAAATTTTAATGAAAAATTCTATAGGCGAAGTCTTGAATTTTGTTTACTCTCCTGACCCTCGCTGGAAGCTGTCAATTCAATTCCTTTGACAATCGGTGCTACGTAACTGAAATTAAAGCGGACCTTTTCTGCTGCTAACATAATGCACACAATAAATATTTCCTAACAAAATCACGGAAGTAACAAGTTCGTTTGGAACTAAATTTCAGTTGGCGCAAATAATAATATGATAAGCAAGATTTTCTACGCTAAAGGTCCATGAAACAGAACACAACAAAATTAAACGTAACTGAAGCGAAATCAATGGGCAAATGAGTGCGGAGAATATACCGATTTGAAATATTTTCCAATTTTCTAATTATGCAAAAAAGCCTTATCAGATTTTTAATCCGTCAAATTATATTGAAATTACCTTCCTGAAGCAGAAACAGTAGCCTTTTAACAACTTTTATGAACCAATATTTTCGATGATATTTCGATATCGAAATTTAATTTGATAGGTAGGAATGTTACCCCGTAAATATTTATAAAAAACATGTAATATTTTAAAAAGTGGTATAATATATATATTTTTTCAAAGTTCTAAATTTATTAAATTTCCTTCTTGTAACCCCACAGTGCAGCCGTGAGCATAGGCGAATGCACATCTCGTTTTCCCTCTTGAGCATGAGAGTAATCGCGCCACTACTCAACTAGACGACAACAACAACAAAGCGCTTAAGTGCACATGCACTCGATTTACTGCATTGTAAGTTTTCAGTTGTAAGCCGTGCAAAATCCAGCGATGGAGAGTTAATGTGTTTTTAATATTATTAACCATTTTCTTGCAACTCAGCAGCCCAGCGCTGGGGAGCGCGCATTTCTTAAACTTTATATAAGTGGTAAGCGTGAAGAGAATGCAAATTCATGTGTATTGTCTTGGGCGTTTCGCATCGCATTTAATTTCAGCTGTACATTTGCGCACTTGATGTTGTTGCTTTTGTATTTTCTATGCGCCAGCGCTGTGTTGAAAGGTTGCTAAAGCTTTGCTTTGCAGTTGTTTGTGGCTCTGTTTATCCTTCTGTTTTTTGTTTGTTGGTTTGTTGCTGTGTGCACGCACAAAGCAGTTGGCAATAAAATAACAATTACAATTACAAAAACAAAAGCTATTGCGTATACGCCCGCCTGTCCGAATTTGTGCATTTATCAAATGCTCATCGCCCGCAATGGGCGCATCGAATTGTTTTCTAAAATACATCCCAACCTAAATTATATTCAACGGTAAGGCGCTGCGAGGGGAGAAATTGGTGGCGTGACTTATCACACCAGCTGTAATGGTGGTGCGCGATTGAATCATGGTGTGCCAGGGTAAATGGTTGCCGCCGTTGTCTTTTCTTTTAACCGTTTCCTCGTGCTGTCTGCTGCAATAGACGCTTACCGCTGCTAATTAATTAGGTTCAATCGCTGATAATTAAGTAATCTGCAGTTTTGGGGTACTGTTGCTGCAGCTCCACCCTTTCGTGAGCTCAACTTTAGCAGGCCTCGCATTAAGCTGCAATTTAGACTGAATAATCCACACACACTTCAAGTGAAAAGGCCTGTTTACTTTCTGAGCAGAGTTGCAGGCGTCTATAGTGAAATTTTTTTAAAAAACTTGTTGCCAAACATTTTAGCTTGATTTGCGCCAATCTCCAATAAAACAAGTAAATATTGGTACGAATATATTTTTGAAATAAAATATGAGAACAAGTTTCAATTTCAATTTTTTATATTTTTTATTACTTTTTTGTTGTGAAGCCATTCCACATGAAGCTGTTAATAGGTGAATAATAAAAATTAAAACTTAATAAATTACGAAATTGCGGCTTGATTTGACTTCGTTCCGGTTATGTCTCTACGCTATAAAATGCATTAACCGTTTTTTTTATTGTATAAAAAGTGTCTAAAGCTGATACATAAATGTACAGTTAAATTTATTCTTGCATTTTTTAAGTTAATTATCGAAACATGTTTATGCATTAATTAAGCACTTTCATATTCTCCTGAAATTTGTCATTCAGATAATCTTTTTCCAACATTTCTTTCTTTATCAAGTTTTAATATTTAATTATTTTTTTTTCAATTTTTATCTTATGTTTATTATATATGCCAGCCAGATCTTTTGGAAATTGATGAACGGATTTTAACATAACATTTTCAACCTCTTCAATGCATATTAATTATTTTATGATTTGTTTGGAACAAGTTCTCTCTAAACCACTTCATTCATCTTCTTTTTTAATGCAATTTTGTTGAAAATTCTTTTATCACTTTGCTAAGCAAGCAAAGTCTTAATTAATTCAAAAAGGAGGTGAAGTAGTTTTATAGAACATTCAGACAGCGCTAACTTAATTGTCATAATAAAAAGTACATTTACGAAGGGAGGTCAAAATGTTAGCTGGAATACGGGTATAAAGTAAATTGCTTAATAATGTTGATTGGACTGAACTTTTGTTGTATTTGAGTAAGTGTACTAGTGTAGAGACATGAATTTCAGTTAATTTATTAAATTTCGTAAAACAAGGCAATTCATATTGTTCTATTATTTATTTATTAACATTACGAAAGTACAGAAAAAGTCCAAAAAATTTGCAAAAATATTACTTTTTGTCAAAATATCAATTATTTCTGGAGATATAACTTCAAATGACTTTTTAAGGTTAATTCTGCTTAACCAATTTCAATAATCTATCGTACTAACTATAAAATATAAAAATGTACATGTTTTTAAAATTTTTTTCTTTTTCCAAATTTATTAAAAAAAAATATTTTACCTTATTTCAAAAAAAAAAAAATAAGAAAAGACAAAAGTAGTAATATAAGTGTTTATTTTTAGTTAAAAAAGTCAGAAAAAACAAATATGTATATTTAAAAAAAATGTTTTTCTCACTTCAGAAATGTAGCCATAAAATACATTTTTCTGAATTCTTGAGAGTTTGTGTAATAGCAACAACCTCTTCTAACATTTTATGAATTCGTCATGAATTTTTAGTACAAACTTCCTCCATGCACTCCCTCGCGCAATAATGAAAACCGCGAAACACTCTTCCGACTGCTTCGGTGTGCGCCCGCTAATCTCACCAAACGCTGACTGACAGCGATAAAAATACTTGCCGACTTCCATACGACTAGTTGCATATGTACACACACACACGCATATGTATGTAATTCGTAATCTTATAGGTAATTTACTCTCTGTTGGCTGGTCGATTAGCCGACTGATAGATTGGCTTTCGGCTACTTTGGCTGAGCCAGCGTTACAAGCATTAGCCAACGTTGCTGCCTGTGTGGCTTTGGACAGTCTGAATGAAAAGGAAAGGAGTTAACCTTGTGCACGATAGCCCCGTTACAACAAGTATGGCATTACACTCATAAAAGCATACAACATACGCTACA